ATTTTAAATGAAAAAAAAAACATTTTTAAACGTCTTTTTCTGAGGAAAACATTTAAAATGTTTTGATACTTTTATATTTCTAATTCTTGCAAAATCCAAAATTCAATAATAACCAAGTCTCGTACTTATTGAATGAAGTACCTACATCATTAAATTTGGATCATAGATTTGAAGCAAGCTAGATTTTTGCTTCATTCCAAACTTTTACACATATGTAACATCAATTGTGTGATGGATGTGTTGTTGTCATCTTTTCGTACTCTAAGGAAACGTTTAACTTCATGCTTTGACCGCCGAGCTCGTTATGACGCTCAAAGCTACTCGACACTCAAAATGCACATAAAATAGCATGTGCTTACATACTAAAACACTTCTACCATGTCGTCATGAATACATCACCTCAACACCAAATCAGTCCTTATTCTCAACATAGAAGCACATCATATCCAATCGTTGACACCAAAAAATATCAAATACTTTAGAGCCAAAATAGTAAAAGTAGTAAAACTAATGTATACATTGATTTGAATGGTAAAAAGTCAAATTTCTACCAAGCCCACATGGTCTCCTCGATACCATCAATGTGACAATCCCATAGATTTTGACTTACAATATCTAAATCACAAATCAATAGCCCATGTGCATACTTGTGAAATCATAACTTTGAATCATAGCGTATAGCAGTTTTGAGGTGATCGATTGATATAACCGTCGATTGTGCTTGAGCGATGGCATACACCGAGGTGTTCTAATGTACTTTATCAGTCAAGCTGAATAATATTCCACTTGACTGTCGGTGAGACCATCAATTATATTCCCAACCTTATCACTTCACTTCACTGATCCGAACTTACTCAGCAATGTATATTATGGCGACATCATGGACTCATGCCAACAGTTTTTAGTACAGTAGTCTATGCCTTCTGATAAAATGATGTGAGTACTAGCTTGCGTGTGTGAGTCGCTTCGATTGATGACTATAGCACTTGCTAGGAGAGCAACCACGCCTTCAAATCGCCGACAGACAGGGGCCTGTAAGTGTTCTGATCAGTTCAGATTTAGGCTTCAAGCCCGAAGATACTTCTCAATAGTTCATTGTTCTTTCCTTCATTCGTGTGGAAGGATGCAAGCATCGAAGATTGGAGCTTAGCAATGGAGCTTATTTTCAGTTCAGGGCATGGAACTCTGAGCTTGAGGATTCACAGTTTGTTGGGGTTCGGATCCATTGTCATTGACCTGCTTTTCTTTCCACGTTTCGAGGTGACGTTCAATCGGAAGTTCACATAGATTTGAAATATCTTACTGCATCCAGTTTTGGTCGTAACCTGTAGAAGATGTACAATGTTGACTCTCTATTCCACAAGACTTCAAATTTTGTGTATACTCATGAGACGTAAGCTATTACACGATATGCATCTTTGCAAGGAGGTTGTGACCTGCTGTTGACAGAATCTGCTATTTTTTCTTGATGGACCATGAGGAGAAACTAAAGATAGATATTCTGTATTTGATCGTAACAAGGACGGCTACAAATAAGGTTAGTACTTTCTCAGAACCACTTCTCCTTTGCTTCCTCTGTTTTTTGATTTTATCATGTCCGATACACCGACACTCTACCTTTTGACTTCGAACACTATGACTGTTATTGGTTCAACCATTTCACTTCATTAAAATCAGTTCTTTAAAGTAAAGTATCTTGTGCTATTGAAGTTTAATATATGTCAATTGATTTCGTGTTTTCTTTCTTCATGGCTTTGGCGTAGCTTTTTTCCACCATTTTGCATTTCATTCATCGGATATTGCCTAAATTTTTCCTTTGTAAAAGTTTATCTTTCCGAGGGCATTTCCATGCGCAACTGTGTTCCCTTGGACCCCTATTCCCATGAATAAAGACACTTACTTCAGTGGTTACTTAGCAATGTGCTCAACATCCAATCCATCTTTTCAAATGATACACGTTTCCTATTTACCAATGTGAAATTCATTCATTACTGTTTGCTTGTAGTGAGAAATGTATCACTTATTCAATGAATAATTTTCCTATTCATAATTTTGCTTGCTGATTACATGTTTTTGCGAACTCTTTACACACTATTTTAGTCAAGCTCTAAACAATGCCACAGAATGACATTTTCAGGTTTGTTTAGTCTATTAAGCCTACTGCATTGGTATTAAACTAATACTCTTTCTGTAAAGAAAATACATTTTATTTCTATATAATTACAATCAATTTATTTAAATAAGAAGTTCTATTTTTCAATCAAAGATTTCTTAACAACATTAATCATCAAACATCTACAAGTTTCAATTTATACTTTTAAAATGATATAAAACAGATTATAACATATGTACTTTTTTGGTTTATTATTTTTAATTACTTGACCTATATTTATTTTTTGATGTATTTGCACATAAAGAACAAATTTTTATCAATAATATTGAGTTCTTGCACTTTGATAATATCATGAGTGTTGATGATGATATCATTCTAAGAATTGTACTTACATGCACATTGTCATAAGCATCTACATGCATTACACTTTCAATACATGGGGCTTGCCTTGACGGAATGCGTGCACAAAAATATAAAGTGAACAAAAAAAAACCCTAAAGTGTTATAAAGAGCTTTCTCAACCTCCCTTATATAGTGACAATTAACCAACTTCATATATTAAGTTGAAACTAGTATAAATTACAAAAAGATTTGATTTAATTCCTAATAATTTTAACTTAATTCAAAATGTAAGAACCTCAAACTTTAGAACATATTAAAAAAATTTGCAAAATACTACAAAAAATTTCAAGCCTATGCCACTTTTGAAACTAGAGTTAACAAAATTTAAATTTTAACTAAAAAATATATCAAATATGAAGATTACTTTTTGAAATTCATATACACATTTATATTTAAAAAAAGTTTTGAATTTATTTGATACTTTCATCTTAAATACGAATTCAATTGATTTTTGAAATTTTCAATATTGAAATTATTATTTTTTAAATGAGTATGATCATGTCATCCACGTAAAATTTCAATATAAAAATTAAATTATTAAAACTCTCATGATCCATATCTTCACGTACACATATGAACCATACACAATAAGTGAAAAATCCATATCTTTTCACAAATTTAGCAATTCATTGCCTATGAACTTGAGTCAATATATATAATGATTTCAAAAATTTTTGAATCAATTTTTTTTGGATCTAATATTTTGAGCCAATTGATTTTTTATTGTAGATTTTTAACCTATACTAAAATCTTCACAAAATTTTAAAAATATGTTGTAAACACATTATTCATAATCAAATTAAATATATTCGATTTATCTTTATTATCTGGTGGAAAAATTTGAAAATTATCATCAATAATGTGATCTTTAGTAAAAAAATTTATCTGTACAAAAGTTTCTCCTTGTGTTACATTATTAAATTTCAATATAATCAATTTTCTCCTTAATAAAAATTGTGTGTACAAAATTGCTCTTGTCAATAGAAGGAGATTTAAAAACCTATCACTCTTTTGATGTTATGAATTTTTCAAAATAAATCTAAACTTACAAGCTATTGATGTCTTAGCATAAAACCCTTCACATCATTAATAAATATGAAAACAAAACTTTGTGAATATAAGATCCAATTTTACTTTATTTTCGTATGTATGGAAGATAAGTCATATAAGAAAAAAATTTCAAACTACTATATCTGGCCATCCGTATGTAATTCAATTCAAATGATATATAAAAATCAATTGCATTCAAATTATCACAAATATCCAAACACATTGCAATCTTAACAGCTTCAGGCCAATATTCATGAGGTAAATCAAATTGGTTTCACATACTACGCATCTTATTCAACATTGATGAGTTGAAAATCTCAAACAGATGATTTAGTTGCAAATTATAAATCGCGTAGAGATGAAAAATGATTACCTCATCTTTGCGAATAACTTCTAATTTTCTCAAAATTATGATTATAACCATTATTACTACATATTTTTTCACCTTGTGTTCAACTTAAGTTTCAACTTGGGCTTTACCTCTTTTAAGACTTGGAAAAGTTTTACAAAAGACTTTTGTGTGAAAGAAATAAATTAACACACGAATCTCAATACATCGATCAACGATAGATAGCATAACATTATAAAAATTAAGTTTTTGAGTAAATTCTTCACATCACACTATGTTAATATTCATGTAACTTTATGAAACGTTGAGTTCCAAAAGCTAATAACACACGAAATACAAAAAATTCCAATTCAACGATATCCATGTCAGGTGACATGCTACTGTCGACAAGGAGTGTCAAGTGCAATTTTTCTATTATCATAGACTTTAATGCCATACATGATTCAATTCAACTTGAGATTTGATATTAGAATCAAACTTACAAAGACTAACAAATGTGATGTCCAAGAAATTATTGTTCGACGTAAGTTAGATGAAAGTTGATCACATTTTCAAAACGTGCTGGTTTCGAACCTGTCATCGTCCTGAAGTCACAAATGTATCCAAACAGAACGTTTCTTGGATTCCACATGCGTAGTCATCATGTCGCAGTCGGGCACTGCAGTAGAACAGGACACAGTCAGGCTCAGTGCAACACAGTACACGTAGACCGAGTGTCGTGAGAGACGACGGATACAGAACAAAAGTAGAACCGCGGTTTGGTTGGGACTAAGTTCGCACTGTCCTCTTTACCCTAATATGAAAGCAGCGGGAGAGAAGGGGAGAGAAGGAGGGAGCGAGAAAGAGAGGAGCAGCCAAGTGGGCTAATCCATCCATCCAGGATCCATGATCCATCCAGGCGTCCATCCATGCATGGGGACGGACCGCTGGAACGAACGGCGGAGGGAATGGCCACCCTTGGATGCGAGGAAAATTCGCCAACGCCATCCTCGCCCTCCGTGAGATGATGGACCGCAGTGGCAGATGGATGACGCGCATCGTACAGCGCTGGCGAGGCGTTAGAGAGAGCGAGAGACAGCGCCGCTGGGCCGTCTTCCAAGCCTCTTGCCCGAGAGAGCATTTCCCTTTCTCCCTTGCAAGCTTCATCTGCCAGCTTCAGCTCGCTCTGTATCGAGCCCTCGCGGCGGCCAACCCCTACCCTAGCAAGGTTTTGCAATCGAATCCCCTCGTCCTGCCATTCCATTCCCATCGACGTTGCGTGCTTTGATGACATTGCGCTTCGCTGCTTCTTTTCGATCTGGTGTTGATGCTTTCATGGTCCCCTTCGTAGTTGTGTAAAGAGATCAGCTGCAGTGGATCGGCCCTTTTTTTGTGACCTCTTGGCCCTGTAATTGAAGTCTGTTTTGCCGGATTGCAAGTCTTGAACCGCTGCAGGAGTCAAGGTGTGAGTTTTGCAGCTGTTGGACGTCGGGCGGGGAAATGCTGAAGCTTCTCTTTTGGTCCTTGGAACTCTCCCTTGTTGTTTGCCAGATTTGTTCCCTAGCTTCGAGCTGAACCCGTTGTCTTTTGCCATTTTGCAGATGAATAGGGAGAAGTTGATGAAGATGGCCAGTGCCGTGCGCACTGGTGGGAAGGGCAGTGTACGCAGGTGAGAATTTTACGAGCTTTGCGCACCATTCAGGTCCTTTCGTAGGACATCTCTTCTACAAGTTCGTCCCGATTGTTTGTGTGTTTCACGAGCTTGATCGAATTGAATATGCGCAAGTTGGAGAAAATTATATAGTCAATGGTCATTTCGTAGCTGGCTTGCAGTTGACTCCGAGCTCACCTAGCTCACCTATGTCCGATTCCATGTAATTTCATCTGAATTTTTGTGTTGTAGTTAAATGCTGTACTCTTTCTGTAGAAACCCTAAACGCCGCACATTACTCAAATCAGATATGTTACTGTCGAACACTCGTTCTAGTCCATTTCTAGTGGAGCTGAAAGAAGATCAATAATGTTCTTTTTCTATTTTCAGAAAGAAAAAAGCTGTCCACAAGACTACCACCACAGATGACAAGAGGTTGCAAAACACCCTGAAGAGACTGGGAGTGAACACCATACCCGGTATTGAGGAAGTGAATATCTTCAAGGATGAAACTGTTATTCATTTCGTTAACCCCAAAGGTAATGCTTCTGTCCGGTGCCAGCCGGCTTGGTATGCTGCGTGTTAGTTTTCCTGCGTCTTCTTAAGAGATAATCGTAAGGTTATGCACTTAGTGATAAGGTGAAAAAAGCATCCGAATGCAACTTGTCGGATCTCTAAAAAATAATATGTGCGAACGGTCTCCGTGATGTTAGATGCGTTCGTCCTGAATTAACTGTACCTGGTGCACGCCTCCTTGTTTGTGCCTGTCTTGACCTAATTTGTTCATCTCTTTGTCTGATCCAACAGTTCAAGCATCGATTGCCGCCAACACTTGGGTTGTAAGTGGACCATCGCAATCAAAGAGTGAGTGTCCTACTTCTTCAAGTTGTCGTTGTTTTCTGTCCTCGGTTGGCTTGTTTTTTCCGAAGGGCACGAGTACTTAGTCCCCTAAACTATCATACTTGAGGAAGGATTTACATCTGCAATCACAGCGTGAAAACCCTAGTTTCTGCCCAAAAGCACCAGTCAATTGTTTGTGAATGAGAAGTTCAGTCCATTGTTGAATATTCTGGATCAGTTGTTTTTTTGGACAGTTCAGGTTCTAATGTATCTGTTGGTGTGTTGATTAAATTTGATAGAATTGCAAGATCTACTACCGGGGATTATCAACCAGCTCGGTAAGTCTTTATTTTGCTTTAAAGCAAAATAATATTTATTTTTGCTAGCAAAAAAATATTTACTTTTAATAAAAAAACTTAAGCAAGATAAAGTAATATAAGAATAAAGTTTAAAAAAACTTTATTTTTTGCTACTACTGTCTCGATAACTCTTCTAACTTTGTAATCTGTCTACTCTCACCAGGACCAGATAATCTTCCCAATTTGAAGAAGATTGCTCAGCAGTACCAGAGACAGGAGCCTGCTGGTGCTGAGGACGAGGATGATGAGGATGTTCCTGATCTTGTAGATGGAGAAACTTTTGAGGAAGCTGCCAAGCAGGAATCTTCTTAGGAAGGTCTGTAACCTCTGTGGCTCAGGCCGTAGATAAAAATTTACCCTGCTTTTGGTCTTGGAGACCTTGTGTTGAATTACTCGTAAGGCACGTTGCCAGGTTGAGTGACGCAATTGACAAAGCAGCTCAAGTTGTGCCCATGATTAACTGGATTGTTACTACCTCGTTTTTAGCTGACATAGATGGACCTCCTACCCGAAGTTTAGAAAAGGGCACAAAGGAGGGGGGTGTACAGAGCTTAATTTTTGGCGGCAAAGTTGTGTCAACTTCTAATGATATGTCGAAGCTCTTCGTAGTGTGGTGCTCTGCTTGGTCTTATGACATATTGCATTCCAGCTTTACTAAGGAGGCAGTTTTAGACTTTTTGTTTGTTGTGATCTAAGGGTAAATCTGATCATGGTATCGTGATATTCGTTCCGATATATGATTACCATGTTGTCTGAAGTACGACATTTCACTATCTCGTTGAATCTTGATGATCTTCCATGTCATAAATTGAAAATTTAGTTTTTCCCGCGGCAGCTGAACCGTGATCATGTGGTCAAATAAGCGGGGCATCTGGTGGCTACGTTTCTGTGCCGGTTTGAGAACTGCAGCTCGGCCAGAAGCGTCGCCCAGTAGCAGGACTGACGTCCGCACGGCGGCCGATAGTGGCTGAATAACGTGTAAGGTTGGGGATTCCGGTGGGTCGGAAATCTATAACAAAGAACAGGCATCTTGTGAGATGAGAGACGTGTCACCTAGAAACTGCTACATTGTAAATGCGGTCTCTACATCCTTTGATATGAGAAGTCTCTACCCGGCTCGTTAAAAAATTTATGAAATGAGAACTGCTCTGCGTTTTATCATGGCATGTCACCACAATTTGATGGGGATTTGATTACAATTCGCGCTGCTGCCGATGGAGTGTTGGAAGACTATGAGAAGCAACGAGTCGAAGAAATCCATTAGTATTGGAGAATGGCATGTGTATCAGCGAATGTTATAAATTGAGGTGAAAATGACCTTGGCAATTAAGGGTGAAGTATAATATTTAATTTAATTTTATCTAATACATGATGAAGGGAAAGAATGTATAAAACTCATGTTGAGAAAAAGAGGCAAAATGTGTGGCAGATATATCTCAAGCGAGAAAACATTCTCTGCTGCAAGACAAATATCTACCCACCTGAACACATCAACACACTGAAGTTATATCCTACAGCAGTTTGCTAATCATTGTATAGTACTGGCCAAGATATGACGAAATTGAAAGAAACCGAGCACGTCAAAGACGAAACATGTTACAGAGAATACAATGAAAAGTGCAACAATGTTCTCTGAATTGTTTACATGTGCAGTGAAATAGCAATGTAAGCTAACGAAAATGACTAACAATCATACACATCCACCCAATTCTCATATCTAAAATATCGACCGAACTCTTCAAATCAATGTATAGGATCACAACCAAAGCCTACGTTGTGGCAATCGCCTACACTTCGTGAAATTTCCACAAGATAATGTGCATAAGTGATGTACGAAGATTGATCTTGAAGGAGGAAAGAGAACACTGTGGAAGCTATTGGGCAGATCGGGCCAGCACCACCGGTCCTGACAGATACTAATCGTGAATAACGGTCAGAAGATATGGAATATTTTTGGTGAACCCTTCTGCGAGGTTTTCAGTAGTTTATATGTCAGAGAAAACCCCGCCGACTACTCATGAGCCAAGGGAATCCAATTTGGCGATCTGCTGTTTTTCATCACTTGTGTTGCATGACTAGACTTGTGCAAAGTACGCAGCTACTGGAATACATAAACTCACACAAAGATCTACAAGCCGCAGCCAAACACACTCCGGGTTCATCCAGTATTTCCGCGTAAATCGAGGACGTAGATGCAAAGACATGCCTGTTGAAATCCATAACAATGCTATAACATGTGGTCGTGACAGTGTTACACAGTGTCATGTTTTTGTTATGCGGGTCAGAAAAGTAGATTGCACCTGTGTATCCAGTAGTGTGTCTGTTCTATCCAATTACTGATATAACTTTTACTGCTTTGATATAGCTTCAAGTATGATTCACAGTAATCGGTTGTTTCTCGATGGGTCCAGGATTGCAATTGCGCCAGGATCGTAGGAGCAAAATGTGCTTTTAAGTCCATAAATTTCATCCCTACATATATAAATATTTGTGGAGTAATTGATAAATGAAAAATCCAAATTTGCTCTATATATTTAAGCAAAAATATTGCATGATAGTAAAGAAATGATTGTACTATCCACAATCTTTTCGCGAGCTGCTGGTATTGCGAATACTTAGCATCAACAACCATTCAGGATTAAACTGATACTACGATAACAGATCAGATTGTAGTTATGGGAAGGGGAGTTCTAATTTGGAAATGTTTTGATGAAGGTTTCGCGTTTTGATTGCAGTACTTTCAAACATTATTTTCGCAACAAACACCGAGGATTAAATGAAAGCTTGTATACTGAAACTGACCATAATTTGATCTTATTAAATTTGGGAAGGTGATGAGATGAGAGAAGAGATCCAAGACAAGATCTAGGTAAGAAAAGACATTCAAAGATCTGAAGAGAATGCTATGCTAAAATGTGTGGCAAAGTGGTACACCATAAAGTTTTTTCAACAAATGTTGTAGACAACAATAAAAGGTATGATGCCAACGGTATGTTCTTTGCACTTCATCTCAACCAAGAGCAGGTGGATAGATTCTAAAATGTTTATGTTTATATACCAATTTGTTCTAAAATAATAATTTTAAATTAATAATAAATATCATCTCAACCAAGAGCAGGTAAATAGATTCTAAAATGTGTATGTTTATATAACAATTTGTTCTAAAATAATAATTTAAAATTATTACCCAATATAAAACGATTGACATTTGATAAAATATGATCAATCCTATCAATTTGAAAATATTAGATTTTTGGAGAGTCATATGTTTGATAATCTTCTACATACATTAATAAATGTAAGATATATACCTGACATGAGTAGAACTTAAAATCTTGGTATGTTAAACGCATATGATAATCAAAGAGAAGCAATTGATGGCATAATTTAAATCATGATTAGTTTAATCAATCAGATTCATCATACAATATTTGAACTTAAATCATGAACATGATCTTTATTTGATAAACATGTTTCATTTTGGTGTGACTGATTACATTGTTTGAAATGAAGTGTGGATATCAGAAAATCAAAACTCTTTAGTATTTTTGGTATATATTGTACATCCTTTCATATCCAAAACAAAATAAATCTAAGTTGGATTTCATGTCCAAAAATGTGTTCTTTTAATATGAAAGTTATGTGAAGAATTTTAGTATGTAATATTCATTCATGTGTAAAATGATTGTTAGTAGATTTGTTTTTTTGATGAGTCTAGGTTATTGAATGAGGAAAAAATGCTCTTGCTCCTTATATCAACAAAAAAAAAATTACTTCAATTATCTTTTAGGAGAAATTGATTATGATACTAATCATGATGATCCACAGAAAGAATCTTTAAAAAAAAACTCAAGTTTCTGAAATTGAAGAAGTTGAACAATGTGAGTAATGACAATATTATTTCTTACGCTGATACTTAATACTCACAATGAGTTATTATTGAGTTATGTGGTTCAACGGGTACTATTATTAAAAAGGATAATCTAGCTCAAGAACAATACTATTTAGATCTTTATAAACTAGTTTTTAATATCAATAAAACAACTGATTCAACATTAGAATTTAAGCACACTGAAAAGTCTATAGGACTAATTTCAGATGAAGTTTACAAAGGAAAAAATAAAATGCACAAAAAAATAAAAAATTGAAAGAACACATGTTGCACGTAGACTTGATATTGATAATATCTGGTTTGACTCCGACTACATTCACAAAAACAAAACAATTCATTCACAAAACTTAAGATAATATTCAGAGTCGGACTACATATCTTTCTCCTGAGTAGTTTAAAGCTAAAATCCTTAATCCGGATTATTTCAATTATCAGTACACTTGAATTGTTACTAACAATCTTATACTTAATTTATATTGTGGTACATTACCTCCATGATCTATATAATTACTTTGCAGAAAGTTCAACAAGGATATCTAACATAGATTATACTTTAAACTACACACCTTTAAATTACAGCTAACTAGAACTAAGTCGTAGACAAAACATGATAAAATAAAAATATAGAGAGTTATAAAAGATATTAATAAACCATACATGTGTTCATCGTGAAAAAGCTACATAAATGTATGATTTCTACTACAAATTTTTAAAATAAATCACTAAATAATGAACTTTGATCAATTTATGAGCTGAATTTGATTTATTGTCAATTTTGACTAGCTTAATTCTTTTAAAAAAACTACATGTTTGATAAAGTGATGTTCATATGTTGTCCATCATTTGATTTGCAGCAAGAATTATTGCATTTTGAATATAACAATGAAGATTGACAAGCTCTTGTTTCCATTCTATCTCAATAATAAGATTATTCAACCATATGGTTTTCATTGCTATATTTTGTTCAACTATTATTTCGCTTTTATTGTAAACTGAACTACACACTTCTGATTGGTTGTCTCATGTTAATTTTTTCCTCTACTGATCTATGAAAAATGAAAAATGATGTAACTACATTAATCTACTTCATAATCACATCAAATATCAAAGCAAATGCGCATAGCAATCAAATTGTAGCATATTTTGTTGCAAGTGAAAATACTTTGTTGTAGTCCACATTTTTTTGGTATGTGAAATCTTTAGTCAACAACATGGTTTTGAAGATTCTAATCTTGTTGTTTATTAGATTTTTTTTATCTTGTACATTTATTTGCAATCATTTTGAGCTTGATTTCTTGGAGTTTTCATTAGCTCATAGGTATTGTTATTTTGAATTTCACACTCCATATCATCAACCTTAGTTTCAATATAATGACCTTCAAGAATAAAAGTAATCAACCTTTAATTTTTACCTTATATGATTTTTATTAACTTAGTTTGATGATTTCTTGATAAATGATTTAGATATATGATCATCTGATGTAGATATTTCAAACACGTCAACGATGCCATATTACTTCAATCCTTGTTTGTTAATGAATTGCTTCATATGTATCAGAAAATTTTCTTGTGTCACATCATTAACCATTTAATAAATAATTTTCTACTCAACAATATTTGCAAATGGACATTTTGAACAACATTCACTTGTCAGTACAGAGATATCTTAAATTCTTCTAGTCATTCATTTTTTTGGTGAGATAATAAGTAATGAGAGATGAATAGTACTGCATTTAAAGTTAATAGAAAGAGGCTAAGATGAGAAGTAAGCTTTTCGTTTTTGCAATAACTTTGAAATTCTTAAGAATTATATTTTCTGCCATTATCCAAAAGTAAATAA